CCCACCAACACATGTTACAAAAAAATTAACTCTTTAAATCATCATCATCGTCATCATCATCATCAAACTTTATTTATAAAGCACTTTAACACCAGCCACAGCTGGAACAAATAAGTAAGATAAAGGAAAGCATAAAAATAGAGTGGCATATGGTAAATTAAAATCTCAGTTCAAAACACAAAAAAATGAGAGTTAAAACCAGTACCAATGAAAGTTAAGTAAAATCAAATCTCAATTGGTTTAAAGGCCAATGAGTGAAAATTTGTTTTCAGGCAGGTTTTCTGTGCACGTGTGAGGATATTGAGACCCAAATAGCTCCATAGTGAAGGGGCCTGTTGAATGTGCAAAGGCAGAGCGTTCCACAATTTAGGGGCAGAAGGCCCCTGTCTCTACGCTTCCATTTAGAGCTGGGAATGACAAGGAGCAGCTGGTCAAAATAACAAAAACAAAACAACTTTTAAATGTCATTATTTTAAATGTAACTGTTCTCTTTTATTCTGGCAAGATTCAACATCCATCCATCATTTATTTATTTATTTATTTATTTATTTATTTTCAAAAAGTACTTATCTGTACAAAATAGATTTAACAACATGGACCTGAGAAGAAGACAAAAATAAACAAATTAATTAATTAATTAAGGTTTATTGAAAAAGAAAGACACCTTTAATCCAGTGTCCAAAAGTTCTTTTTTTTTTTTTCATTCAGTCATGCCACACCTCCCCTGCAATGGCACTGCGCCCCCCACTATAGGAACGAGCTACTGCTTTAACCTTTGGGTAGCCCTTAGCCTAACCTGGACAAAGTCATTGGCCTTTTTCTCCATACTGTATGTTTAATCACTGATGTCACAGCTGGTAAGGTCCTAACTGTCAATAACTAGTAGACAGAATATCCCTTCAAAAATGGCCAGACTGTCTCTTAACCCCCAATTTACACTACATGCGTTCCGTCTCTGCTCCGCTGCGATCCGACCTCCGCAGCAAATACACACCCATTATAATCAATGAGAGTGTTTACACTGGCTGTGCACGACGGCGGTGAGCGGACGGAGATCCATCAAAATTAGAACAGATCCTATTTTTGCCGGATGCTGGAGCAGCGCCGGAGTCCATTTTTAAAGATTACGTCGCACCAACAGGAAAAGACACAAGCACAACATCCGTATTTTCAAAATAAGACACTATTCGGCGAAATAATTTGTCGGAATAATGTCGAAATTGCAGCTACATTAATAAATATACGGATATATTTCTACACAAATGCTGTCCGAATGTATCGTTCTGTTTGGGAAGCAGATGGAAACATGTAGCATGAAGCATATGTGTACACACACGATACACGTGGATTTTATTTTGAAATCAGAAGTTTCAGAAAGCCGACAGCGATACAGTTTCAACATAGATATTAAAAGCCTTCTTATCGTTGTTTTCAGCTGTGTTTGGAGTTCGTCTTTCACAGAATTAATTATTTTTTGCAGTGCACACACACACATTGAACTCACCTTGCAGTGTGCACTCCATCAGTTTGTCATTGGGCTCGTAGTCATCTGGACAGACGTGGTGACACCGTCCGCTGAGCTGGTAAAGGCCCGGCCGGCATCGTGTGCACGTTTCACTGGTCCCACACGACTCACACTCTTCAGGGCACCCTGCAAGCACAGTTAAATACCTGAGCAGTCTGCTATTAGAGGATCCCCCCCCCCCCCCCCCCCGACGGAGATGAAACCAGGGTACTCACTGGGAACGCACTCCCTCTGCGCTTCGCTGTGGACCATACCGTCCGGGCAGCTCTCCTGGCACTTGCCCAGGTGAAGGTAGAATCCTGCCCGGCAGCGTGTGCAGAAGTTCTTGTTGAAACAGGAGTCGCACTCCGACCTGCACTCTGACAGAGGGAGCACAGACACACCAGCACCGGTGTTTATTTAAACAGTTTTCATTCATCACACGCTTCCTGCCGGGTGTAATGGCCGCTATGAGCAGCTAAACACCTGCTCTGATTAAACCCCGACCAGGAGAAGTTATCCGAGGACATGTTTTCCTCCAAGTTGAAGTTGATTTTAAGTGTTGCTTGTAAAAGAAGTGTTTATGTAGGGAGGACATTTTGACAAATGCCTCGGAGACTTGATTTGATTCATTTATTTAACAGGAAAAGATTATTAAAAATCCTTAAAGCAGGTTTCTCCGGCTTGCTGCTGTTGCGGCGTGTCTCGGTGGAGTGGCGGATGTGGATGGAGTCCCTCGGCCCTRGGATTGTCCCTCGTGTTTGGACGGAGCGCCTGGGGTGGACTTGCCGGCCTGGACGC